GCAGCGCGGGGATGCCGTGGGGCAGCAAGGGACACTGTGGGGCAGGATGGGGATGCTGTGGGGCAGGATGGGATGCCATGGGGCAGCAGTGGGATGCCGTGGGGCAGCGAGGGATGCCATGGGGCAGTGAGGGATGCCGTGGGGCAGCGTGGGGACGCCATGGGGTAGCGAGGGATGCCGTGGGGCAGCGAGGGATGCCGTGGGGCAGCGTGGGGCTGCCGTGGGGCCGGGAGGGCCGCCGGCGGGGAGCGGGGGGAGGCCGGGGCCGTGGGGCAGCGAGGGATGCCGTGGGGCAGCGTGGGGATGCCGTGGGGCAGCAGGAGGATGCCGTGGGGCAGGGCCCACCTGTGACGAGGCACTTGCTGGCGTCGCCGGAGGGCACGGCGTGGATGCGGAAGGGGGAGCAGGGGATCTCGTCCCCCCCGTACTTGATGGTGATGGTGTAGCGCCCCGGCAGGTCGGGGACGTAGGAGACCGTGTAGGTGCCGTCCCCGTTGTCCCGGATCGCCGCCTTCTTGGGCTGCCCCTCGGGGTCCTGTGGGCACCGCCCGGCTCAGCACCCATTGCCCTGGGGCTAGGGCACCCTATGGGGCTCAGCACCCCATGGTGTGGGGGCCACGGCACCATACGGGGTTCAGTGCCCCATGCCATGGGGGCCAGGGCACCCTATGGGGCTCAGCACCCAATGACATGGATGCCAGGGCACCCTATGGGGCTCAGCACCCAATGGCATGGGTGCCAGGGCAACATATGGGGCTCAGCACCCAATGGCACGGGTGCCAGGGCACACTATGGGGCTCAGCACCACATAGCACAGGTGCCAGGGCACACTATGGACCTCAGAACCCCATAACACAGATGCCAAGGCACCCTATGGGGCTCAGCACCCCATGGCATGGGTGCCAGGGCACCCCATGGGGCTCAGCACCCCAACCCCCTCTGCCAGCCGCCCCCCATCCCTCCCCAGGGCTCAGCCCCCCACGGCGTGGCCCCCAGGCCCCGGCGGGCGCTCACCAGGATCTGGACGGTGAGCAGCCCCTCGCCGGCGTCGCGGCACCTTGCTGGCGTCGTGGGCGGGCAGCACCTTGATCTTGAAGGGGCTGTGGGTGGGCACGGGGGGTCAGCGGGGCGCCGGGACCCCCCGGCCCCGGTGGGGGGCCCGTGTCCCCCCCGAGGGTGGTGGTCCTCACCTGCGTGGCACCTCCTGGTCGGCGTATTTGACGGCCACGGTGTAGGGCCCGTCGGTGGCCGGGGTGTAGTTGACCTTGTGGGTGCCGTCACCATTGTCACGAACCTCCACTGGCTCCGCCAGACCTGCGGGCAGCGGTCCTCAGTGGGGCAGGGCGCCCCGTGGGGCAGGGTGGCCCCTGGGGTAGAGCGTCCCGTGGGGCAGGACCCCCCATGGGGCAGGACCCCCTTTGGGTAAGGCACCCCATGGGGCGGGACACCCTATGGAGCATGGGATCTATGGGGTTGGATGCCCTACGGAGTGGGGCATCCATGGGGCAGGGTACACATGGGGCGGGACATCCATGGGCAAGACACCCCATGGGGCAGAGCACTCCCTAGAGGAGGCCACGCCATGGGGTTGGACGCCCTATGGAGCAGGACACCCTATGGAACGTGGGATCTATGGGGCTGGATGCCCTATGGAGCAGGACACCCTATGGAACGTGGAATCTATGGGGTTGGACACCCTACAGAGCAGAACACTCTATGGAGCATGGGATCTATGGGGTTGGACACCCTATGGAACGTGGGATCTATGGGGCTGGACGCCCTATGGAGCAGGACATCCCTGGGCAAGACAAGCCCATGGGTTGGAGCACTCATGGAGAGGGACACGCCATGGGGCAGGACGCCCCACGGAGCAGGACTCCCCTTCCATCCCCGCCCCCCGCCGCGTGTCCCCACGTACCGGAGGGTCCCAGCAGCGTGACCTCGAGGGGCGCCAGCCCGGCGGCGCTGCAGTCCACGGTGAAGGTCTGGGGCACGCGGGCCCTGACGCTGGGGCCCAGCCCCGGCCCCGAACACTTGACCTTGCTGGGGTCCACCACGTCCTTCACCGGCACCCGGAAGGGGCTCCCTGCGGCAGTGGGTGTGGGTCAGGGTGCGCAGGGGGTCAGCGTGGGGATGGGGTCGGCGTGGGGATGGGGTCAATGTGGCCCCAGGGACGGCATGGCCACAGGGTCAACGTGGCCATGATGTCAACGTAGGCATGGGGACAGCACAGGGACGGCATGGCCATGGGGTCAATGTGGCCATGGAGTCAACGTGGGCGTGGGGACAGCATGGGGTCAGCGTGGGCGTGGGGTCAGCGTGGGCATGGGGCCAACATGTCCATGGGGTCAACATGGGCGTGGGGTCAGCATGAGCACGGGGACAGTATGGGCAGAGGGACAGCATGGCCATGGGGTCAACATCTCCATGGGGTCAATGTGTCCATGGGGCCAGCATGGGCATGGGGTCAACGTGGGCATGGGCACAGGATGGGGTCAACATGGGCCTGCGGTCAACGTGTCCATGGGGTCAATGTGGGCATGGGGTCAATGTGGGCATGGGGACAGCACGAGGACAGCATGGCCATGGGGACAATATGGCCATGAGGTCAATGTGGGCAAGCGCACAGCATGGGCATGGGCACAACGTGGGGTCAACATGTCTGTGGGGTCAACGTGGGCATGGGGTCAGCGTGGGCATGGGGACACCACGGGGATGGCACAGGTGGGGTCAGTGTGGCCATGGGGTCAGCGTGGCCACAGGGTCACCATGGGGTTGGCCATGGAGTCAGCACCATCACCTCCACCTGCCGGCACCCAGCACCCATCTCCGCCCCACGGCCACCCCCGTGGGTTCCGCGGCCCCCCAGCTCCCCCCGGCCACCCCCAGGCCTCCACGCACCAGGGATGGGGTGGCCACCGAAGGTGATGTTGACGTCGTAGTCGCCGGGCGTGAAGGGGATGTACTCCACCGTGCAGCTCCCGTCCTTGTTGTCCTTGCAGGACATCTTGGCCTCGGAGGGACCCTCGATGGCCAGGCCCAGCCCCCCAGTGCCCGCGCCCCTGGGGACAGGCCACCGCTCAGGGACGCTGCCGGGGGTGGCCTGGCTTTTGGGGTGGGGGTGGCACGTCCATGGTGGGTGCCCGGGGGTGGCCACCTCCATGGTAGGGTGATGGGAGGTGGCATGTTGGTGGGACGGGGCTGGAGGTGCCACCTCCATGGTAGAGGGATGCAGGTGCCACGATGGTGGCAGGGGGGGAAGGTGGCACATCGATGGCAGGGGGTGGAGATGGCACGTTGGTGGCAAGAGATGGAGGTGCCACATCCATGGCAGCAGGACAAAGGTGCCACATTGGTGGCAAGTGGACGGAGATGTCACATCCAGTGTAAGAGGCTGGAGGTGGCACATCCATGAGAGGGGCTGGAGGTGGCAGGTGATGGCATAGGAGAGTGGTGGCACATCCATGGCATGGGATGGAGGTGGCACATCCAGTGTAAGAGGATGGAGGTGGCACCTCCATGGCATGGGATGGAGGTGGCACATCCAATGGCACGGGATGGAGGTGCCATCTCCATGGCAGGGGACAGAGGTGCCACATCCAATGCAAGAGGATGAAGGTGGCACCTCCATGGAAGAGGCTGGAGGTGGCGGGTTGGTGGCATGGGACGGAGGTGACCGGGGGGTCCGCTGCCCACCTGGTCTCCACGGTGAAGCGGTTGGCCTTGCCGACGAGGCCGCCCTCCAGGCCGGGCCCATGCGCCCGCACGCGGCTGGGGTCGCAGCCCTCCGTCACCCCCACGCGGAAGGGGCTCTTGGGGACCGCCACCTCGTCGTAGGTCACCTCCACCCGGTGCATGCCTGGGGACGCGGGGACACGCCATAGCGGGGGGTGTCAAGGGGTTTGGGGGTCCCTTGGGGGGGTCTTAGGGGGCTTGAGGGTCCCTTAGTGGGGTTTGGGGGGCATCTCAGAGGGTTTGGGGGTCCCTGGTTGGGGTTTGGGGGGTTTGGGGTCCCTGATTGGAGTTTTGTGGTGGGCGCTGGGGTTTTTGCGGCCCCTTATTGGAGTTTTGGGGGGTCTCAGGGGGTTTGGGGTCCCTTGGTGGGGTTGGAAGGGGTCTCATGGGGTTTGGGGGTCCCTTCATGGAGTTTTGGGGGGTCTCAGGGGTTTGGGGGTCCCTTGGTGGGTTTTGGGGAGGATCTCAGAGGGTTTAGGGGTCCCTTGGAGGTGGTTTTGGGGGTCCCTCTCTGGGGGTCCCCACCGGGGGGACAGGACATCTGGCCAGGCCATGGGGTCCCCTGGGGGTGTTGGGGTCCCTGGGGGGGGCTCAGGGGTTTCGGGGTCCCTCACCGTCCTCGTAGGGGGTGTAGTCCACGCGGTAGGTGCCGTCGCCGTGGTCGGTGACGTAGGTGTCGGTCTTGGCACCGGAGGGGTTGACCACCCGGGCCTTGACGTGGGGTCCCCCCGTCTTGGTGAGCGCCCGGGCGTCCACCGTGAAGTCGGTGGCCACCTCCCGCAGCACCCCTGTGGCACGGCACCCTCAGCACCCGGGCGGCACCCGTCCCACCGCCGAGGGGGCCACCCGGGGAGGGGTCCTGCCCTCTGACACCCCCCCACCACATGGGGGGGCCATGGGGAGGAGGTGGCCAAGGGGAGGAGGTGGCCACAGGGAGGAGATGGCCATGGAGAGGAGGTGGCCATGGGGAGAAGGTGGCCGTGGGGAGGAGGTGGCCAAGGGGAGGAGGTGGCCATGGGGAGGAGGTGGCCAAGGGGAGGAGGTGGCCACGGGGAGGAGGTGGCCATGGGAAAGAGGTGGCCAAGGGGAGGAGGTGCCCATGAGGGTGCCCATGGCACCGGGGTGCCCGGGGAGGTTCTGCCCGCGGGGACACCCCTCGCCCTCACCTCGCGGCTCCACGCCTTTGCCGTAGACCTTGACACCGCTGGTGTCCACGGCGGGGGCGACGGTGACGCGGACGGGGAACTTGGGGACGGGGTGGCCGCCGTACTTGATGGTGATGGTGTAGGAGCCGGGGCAGGCCGGGGTGTAGGTGATGGCGTAGGTGCCGTCCCGGTTGTTCTGGATGAGCACCTCCGCCTTCACCCCGGCTTCCGAAATGATCTCGATGGTGAGCTCGGCGTCGCCGGCTTTGGAGCAATCCACCATGAAGGTGGCCACCTCGCCGGCTTTACCGCGTTCCAAACCGGGGCCGCTGGCCGTCACCTTGTTGGGATCGAAGACGGGGGTCACCTCCGCCTTGAAGGGGCTGCCGGGGATGTGCCGGTCGGCGAAGAGGATGTTGATGGCGTAGTCGCCGGGCTCGGTGGGGAGGTAGGAGACGGAGCAGGAGCCGTCGCCGTTGTCCTGGCACTTGGGAGCGTGCGAGGGGCGGGGGCGATGGCGGGAAGCGTGCAAGGGATGGACATGATGGCGGGAAGCGGGCAAGGGACGGGGACGGTGGCGGGGAGGGGGGAAGGGGGGGGGGCGGGGGGGGAGCCGTCGCCGTTGTCCTGGCACTCGATCTGGGCCTCGCAGGGGCCCTCCACCGTCAGCCCGTCAGCCCCGGTGCCGGCGGCGTGCAAGGGATGGACATGATGGCGGGAAGCGTGCAAGGGACGGGCACGATGGCGGGAAGGGTGCAAGGGGTGGGGGTGCTGGCGGGAAGCGTGCAAGATGCAGGCATGACGGTGGGAAGCGTGCAAGGCACGGGCGTGCTGGTGGTAAGTGTGGAAGGCACGGGCACAATGGTGGGAAGTGTGCAAGGGATGGTTGTGCTAGCAGTAAGTGTGGTGGGCGTGCAAGGAGCAGACCGAAGCAGGGTGGGTGTGTAAGGGGATGTGCGGGCAGGGTGGGTGTGTAAGGAGCAGAGCGAAGCAGGGCGGGCGAGCAAGACCACATGCAGGCAGGATGGGTGTGCAAGGAGCAGACCACAGTAGGGTGGGTGTGCAAGGCCACGTGGAGGCAGGATGGGTGTGCAAGGAGCAGACCACAGTAGGGTGGGTGTGCAAGACCACGTGTGGGCAGGGTGGGTGAGCGGGGAGCAGACTGAAGCAGGGCGGGCGTGCAAGGCCACATGCAGGCAGGGCGTGCGTGCAAGGAGCACACCAAGGCAGGGTGGGTGTGCAAAACCACATGCAGGCAGGATGAGCGTGCAAGGAGCAGACCAAAACAGGGCGGGTGTGCAAGGCCACGTGGAGGCAGGATGGGTGTGCAAGGAGCAGACCAAAGCAGGGCGGGCGTGCAAGGCCATGCACAGGCAGGATGGGTGTGCAAGGAGCACACTGAGCAGGGTGGGCGTGCAAGGCCGTGTGGAGGCAGGATGGGCATGCAAGGCGCACACCGAAGCAGGGTGGGCGTGCAAGGCCATGCACAGGCAGGATGGGTGTGCAAGGAGCAGACCA